CCCCCCCCCCCCCCCCCCCCGCTACCTCTATCAGAGGCAGCAAGGGGGGGGAGAGAAGAGGTACTTCAAAGTGGCAGTGCCATACAGCTGAGCTGGGGATCAGCTGTGCAGTGCTGCTGCATGTAGAGCCCAGGGTTAGCTGGGGAAATGCCACGTGGAGCCTGGGATGAGCTGGGGAGCATGGCATTTCAAATCTGAAGCACAGCATGGAGCCTGGAGTCAGTGGGGAACTCTCAGTCCCATGCTGATTCCGGGCTCCATGCTTTGCTGCTGCTTAGAAATGCACGAGAGCCCCTGCCTGGGGACTCTTGTACATTTCAAAGCTGGCACGCCCATGTGCAGCCCAGAGTCAGCGGGACTTCCACTGGCCCCAGGCTGCATGCAGAGTTCTGCATTCCTCCTTTGAAATGTACAAGAACTCCTGCTAGGGCTCTTAGGCACTTCTGCATTCCTCCTTTGAAATGTATATCAACTAATTGAGTAGTCGATGGAAATTCCATCGACTACTCAACTAGTAAATTAACCGTTACTTATCCTTCACTTTTTATTTACTAATAAAAATCTAATCCTTCCGAGCCTTGTTGTTGTTGATTTTGTTTCTAATTGAGTTCAAATATTTTTATAGCTGGCTACTTTATAACCAAGTTTCTTTGTTAGGTGACCCAGAAGAACTCATGTTCCAATACTTCAAAAAGTTTGGGGACAAACCCTGCTGTTTCACTGATATCAAGGTATTTGTGGACCTTCTCCCATCCACCCAGTGTACAAAGGTAAGAACAGTAGCATTGGGTGCAGTAGAAGAGGGGTCTTGGAGTTTTCTGAGTGCAGCAGCTGTTTGCCAAACACAGCTTTTTGACTATCAAAAGAGAACCTCCATCTGGGGGGGGGGGAAATCAGTTTTTTAGAAAAACAAATTGCTAACAATGTAGAATGCTCTGTGTCTAATTGTAAACACACTCTGGGAGAGTGTCTGTCTTTCTCTTAATCTTGGCCAAGCATCGGGCATTGTAGCCCTTTGGGGCTCACAGAGGGGGCTCTTCCATGGGTGGCCACTGCGCCGAAGTCCTCGGAGCCCCTTTAGTCCTCATTCTCGGGCCGATGATCAGACCAGATTCAGGTTAGCATACCAGTCTCTGCAATGAGAGGCCTGGGGTGGGCCAGCAGACAAAGGTAGTCATGGAGTTCAGTAGCTCTGGCCCTGGTTCAGGGTGAGGCCGCAAGCCAGGAGGGACAGAGTTCAGTGGCCCAAGCCCTGGTTCAGGGTGGGGCAGCAAAACAAACAGTCAGAAAGGCCTAGGTGCTGGTTCAGGGTGGGCTTGTACACCAACCAGAGTTAGTCTATATGACTAGCAGTTCATAAAAAAACAAATGGTTGGGTCTCCTTGCTCGGCTGGAGATCCAGCAATCTCAGGCAGTTGGCATGAAGTGGCAGAGGGGGGAGACAGACCCACCCACTCCACTGCATCCCAGCCCAGGGCCCTAACAGCAGCAGAGCAGTCTGCTTCTGGGTCAGCAGGGATCCAGACTGCAACATGCTGACCCCGGCTCTGGCTCAGCCAAACAGTGGTCAGCTACCCCTGGGCCACTTCAGTTTTCCCCCTCAGTGCATACCTCTCCGGCACGTTCACTGGGGTGTTGGGGATCCATAGCTGTAGCAAGGGTCCTGGTGGTCCAGGCCAGTCCTCAGCCTCCCAGCACAGAGTAGATGTGTGGTTTCTCTGCTGGCTGGGCCCTGACTGAGCTCCTGTGCTGGCTTTTTATAGCCCTGGCTACGTCTCTTGACTTCTGGTCCTGTGAAGGGGTGGGGTCCAGTTCAGCCCAAGAGGGCTCACAGAGGGGCTTTTCTCCTTCTGGGTCAGTGGCAGCAACTTCACCTCACTACAGGCATACATAGGGCACTAAGTGTCATGTGGTTCGATTTATTTTAGATCTGGGGAAACCAGGACACTACAGAGAGACGTAACTGCTTAAAGCTTGCAACAAATAAGAAAGTGAACATAGTTGTTAATTGTTTGTAAGGCTTGTAAAATATAACTACATAAGTTAAACCTGAAATACTGTAAATTCTAAAGCAATTAATACCGCGCAAAGCAATGCAAAAGCAAGTAATAGAAGATCTACTATAATATAGTAATTAAGCCCAATTCACTTACACTTCACCCGTATGCTACCGACAGTTCCAGGCAGGATGTTGTGGTCCCTTTGATTCCCACCCATCGGAATGCCATGCACTGGGGTGTGAAGGGTCTATTACTTCTAGTTACGAGCAGGACGTGTGCGTCAATCCTGCTCACTCCCTCCCATCGATTGTTCTTGCTAAGCCCATTTTCTAGCAAAGCGAGACTTGGCCATTCTAATAATATTTACCAATTGTGGTACATCCTACTACTCTGGATGTTGCAAAAACTATGTGCATAGTTAACAGTTTTATGGCTGTATCTAGAATTTTTGCTTATCAGAAATAGAAGTACCAGTACAAGGTTGCTTGTCATGTGTGTTTTGACATGGTCTCGCTGTACCATGCTTTATCTGCATGATTGTGCAAAACATTCCTGCCTCCCAAAGCTTCCCCCTGAGCCTTGCCTGCGTGCTGATGTGCACCAGACTTGAGACAGGCCTGGGTTTGCTTTGTTAAAGATCCACACTATGGTCAAGGCAGATGTGACCATTTATTGTCAAGGCAGGGTTGTCCAGGCTCCTCTACACTGAGTAAGAACACTAGCAGTTCCAAGTGACACATGGACACATCAGCATCAATTGAGAGAGATGTCCGACGTTATTTGTAGTTCTCAGAGAATCTTTAAACGAGCGAGGATTTCAGCAGAGTCAGGAGCAGCTTGGTAGATGACTTCAGCAGCTGGGAATTCTGCCACTCACCCCCCTTGTTCTTCTAGTCCTGTGGTGTCCAACGAGTTCTGAAGCACTAGCCACTACTGTATAGTGAACTAGCCACACTCAACCAGCCAAATAGCCACATGTAGCTAGTGGCTAGCATGTTGGACACCAGGGGTCTAGACCATTGTGAAATATAACTCGAGGATGGGAGTTAGACAAAGTTCTGGAATAGTTAAAGGTTATTAACAGAATCTATGTAAACTACATATAGGCATTGTCCATATTGGGGATTTTTTGCAAGAAATCCCTTTGTTGCAAACATCAGCTCAGCTCCCTCAACAATGGTAATGCTGGTGGCCTTACTATAGATAGGCTGCTGCCAACACTGTGGCCTGGTCTACACTAGGACTTTGTGTGGAATTTAGCCGCATGTGGTTGACTTTTCTAAGCAATGCATCCACATTACCAAGCCTGTCACGTCAACCTTAAGTGCCTCTGAAGTCTATTTCAGTATTCCTACTTTTCACGAAAAGTAGGAACACTATTCCTGACCTTGCATGGTTGAATTTATGGTAGTGTAGAGACAGCATTGGGTGAAATTCAAGGCTGTTGGTCTCCGGGAGCCCTCCTGCACTTACCTGCTCTGGCCAACACTTGCGCCTCTACTGCTCTCCTGGTGAAGTCAAAAAGCCCCAGGGAAATCAGAATGGCATTTACTGTGTGGCCAGTGGTGGGAACCCGTTCAGAGCAAGCAATGCACTGCGGCACATGTGGAGATGACCTCCAATAATCCTACTGACGCTACAGCAACGTCGAATACTTCTGCTTCCATGGACTCCAGTTCCCAAGGGCGCAGAAGAGCGCCAGCATGGAGCGTCCAGGGGATCTTGGACCTCATCAAGGCATGGGAAGATGAATCCATTCTCTTTGAGCTCTGAACCAGCAAGCGGAACGCTGACATTTATGGCAAGGTTATAAGCTGCCTGGGGGCTAAAGGCTATTCCAGGGATGCCCAGCAGTGCTGTGTAAAAAATCAAGGCGCTCAAGCAGTCCTACCATAAGGTGAAGGAGGTAAGTGGACACTCTGGGGCACTGCCTCACATTCATTGCTATTATGAGCAGCTGGATGCAATATTTGAGGGGGGAGTTTTCCCCAGCGTGGTCATGGAGTCTGGTCAAGACACACCCAATGTCAGTGAAAACCAAAACTTGGTCATGATGCTGGAGCCAGTGTCCCCGTCCTCCCAGCATGTCTCCCAGTCCAGCACCGACCCTGGGGAGGGCACTTCTGGTGAGTTGACAAACTTTTTCTAACTACAAGCAGGTTAAAGCAAAGGGGTGTGAGGTACCTACACAGCATGGGGAGCGTGGAATAGCTTGTTAATGTGTCCATAGATGGAGCAGGAGTCTTGCCTGCACAGCTTCGTGAAGCTTTCAGCTAGGAACTCTTCGATCCTTCTCAGAGTTTCTGGGGAGGCCTGCCTTATGCTGTCCTCCGCGGTAGGACACCTTCCCACACCAAGCCACCGCCACCAGTAAGTGGTCTAGTGTCATTGAACCAAAAAGCATTGCAGCGTAAGGCCCCAGGTCTGTTACCACATTCAGTCAGCATACGCTCCTGATCAATTGGTGTGATTCAGAGAAGTCTGATATTGTGCGTGGCAACCTGAAGGAAGGAGGCTGGGAGGCTATTGGCACTTTACCTGGGAGGCTGAGAGAGCTGGGGACACATTTCTCTCCTCCCACACCCTCCCCATGCATGCATGTGCACACACCCATGGGCAGGAAGGCTATGTCTAGACTGCATCCCTCTGCTGAGAGAGGGGTGCAAATGAGCCTGGGATTTAAATATCCCGGGCTCCATTTGCATACTCGCGTTCCGACACATTTTTTGAGGAGTACAGGAGCTGCCGAGAAAGCTCCCCACTGTCGGCAGAGCCGTGGCGACACTTACTTTCACTTTCGACACTGAGCCTGATCAGCACAGCATTGGAACGTGAGCATGCAAATGAAGCCCAGGATATTTGAAGCCCGGGCTCATTTGCATTTCCGAAGTGCTTGATTTGCATCCCTCTCTCGGCAGAGGGATGCAGTCTAGACACAGCTGAAGAGAAGCAGTGTCCCTGGCAAGCCACGTGTGCCAGACCTGGCATGTGCCAAACACAGTGGAAAGCAGCAGCAGCAGCCACCGCCACCACCACCCCGCTTGTTGGCCCCTTACCATGCCTGCCTGCTTCCGGACTGAGTGCATTCCAATGCTCCCCTGAGAAGTTTGGACACCTGCTGTACAGTGCCTGCTTTAAAGCAGACATTTGGCCTTGCACAGAGCACATCTCCATTGTCTTCAGAGACCTTCGGTGTAGGCTCACAGATAAAGTTTAGGCTCAACACAATGTGTCTGCTGTAATGTCTGTCCTTGTAACTTAGCAGCTGAGACAGCAGCCAGCTCACTGCATACTCCCCCTCTTCTAGCATCTGCCCACCTGGCTCCAATCTGCAGGCGAAAACGTACAAGGGAGGATAGGTTCAGGGAGCAGATGGACTGCATGCACACTCTCATGGAGGAGATGTGGGCAGAGCACATGGACCTCATCGCTGAATGGCAGGAGAGAAGAGCTGCCAGGGAGCAGCAGGCGAGGCAGCAGGAGATTCTCTTTGCCTCCTGTAGCTGTTCAGGACAGCGATACAGCGTTCACTGCCCATTGTTCTCCTTTCACTCTTGTTGTTTCCAACTATTTTATCATGTACTTAGCTGGTTGTCCTTGTACTGTCCTGCTGGCATGTGTTTACATATTTAATGTGCTTCTGTTATGCTTAAAGCACACAAGATCTCTTATAGGGGAAAAGGCAGTACGCCGCATTTATTGAGAATACAACAGTTGTATTTTTTTTTCTCACAGACACTCACTCTCCCACCAGACAATGTTGTAGTTACTAGGGCATAGTCTGTATCAATCTAGTGGCCAGTTAGATCAATCACAGAGGGAGAGCAGGGCCTTTGTCAGTCGATTGATCCGATGCTCCTCTGGAGTTGGTGGCAAGACGAACCCAAAGTTCCATAGCAAAGCACCTTGCTTTTATAAACCTTTTCTCTGAAGTCTATGGATTCCGCTGTCAGCCTGTGACCGGTGCGTTATCTTTTTTTGTCAATCATTCCCAAAACATTTCCAAAGCTCATCCTGTAATCAATCGTCTTTTAGGGGTGATTGCTTCACTTTAAAGCCGTCAATCTGCCAACCCGATCACTCCTTGGCCATGGGTACGCACTGGTGGTAACTGCTGGTTCTTCTGGTGCCGATCAGTCTGTTTTCACCCCTCCTTTTTTGGCCATCTGGTTCTGAGCAATAACCTTTGCACCTTTATCTTGACACATACATACCGCTTCCACGCACAAAGAATCTTTTACAAGGCCTTTTGAAGAAAAGCATAACATTAGTATCTCATATTGGGCAAAGCAAGAGGCATTGTAAATCAAACAATTAAAACTTCAGTCTTCAACATCCTTCTAGTCTCATTAACATAGATACAATACCAAAACTCGATTTCCTTCCTTACTAAACTTTAAAAAAAAGATATATCTTACTAAAGGGCTTAGTTTATAAAATGATGATGTTACCTTACATTGCTACATTATTAAAGCTAAAAATACAAATGTGAAAGTTTTATCCTTTTTAGTCCTAACACTTCTATCCATGCTAGCAGTTCTAGTGCTGAGACGTACTGACTTGCAGGCAACCATTTGCTTTTGATACGGCTTGTCTAGTACTCATAGTATAACTCTTACTTACTTTGGTTCAAGCACCAGGCCCATGCTTCAGACTCTTTCTTTCTCCTACACTTCCCTGATCACTGTGATGGAGTGTCTGACTGCATGTCTGGAGAGGGACTCCTTCTCCCCCCCCCCCCCCCAGCC